AAAAGTAAATGAAGTTTTTGAAAAGGGGAAGAAACAATGTTATTGAAATTCAAGCGGAGGGAGTCATAAATTTTAATACTTTGTGCCGACGACGCAAGCGCTCGCAAGCAAACGATACAAGTCGACGGTAAATTAGATTAGACTTATTAACGGCCGGCATCGCCCCCAGTTTCAAAGGTAGAAGGAAGCACGAAGCAATCGAGAGCGCTAATTAAAATTTACAAAGTTTGCAAATAAGACGAACAAGTTCCTCCTCGACACCTTCTCGAAAAATATGTGACATCCCGTACGGAAATTTATCCGGATTTGATGATCTAAAATAGATAACTTTTTTGGTATCGTGCCAAACGTACCTTCGAACGGGAAGCCGTGCTATAAATTCGCTTTTCTGTAAACAAACGAAAGAAATACAACAAAAAAAAACCTTGACGATTATTATTACCCTGTTAATCATCCAGCCCTAAAAAAAGTAAAAAAAGAAAATCCCGTGCTCAACGTTCACATTAATCAACCCTCAACGCACTACTGTCTATCAACAACCCCTAACATTTTTTCTTAAGGGAGGTCTCGGATTGTTTTCGAGTGGTCCTCGTACATCCTGGAGAAAGGAACGAGAGACCCCGTACAACGCATCTTTAAAGAGACGGATGGATAGCATCTGCACGCGGCCCCAAAGCCACATGTGCTACTACTTCGTATTATCGCAACAACCCCATCTTTCGGTTGTCTTTCTTTCTCTTTTTGTTCCAGAACTGAAACTGGGTTGGCTTTTTTATTGTGTTTTGTTTCAACGTGACAACAGAATCGACCGAGTGTTTGCGGTTTCGATGGTTGTGTAACTTTTACTTTTCGATTTCAAATGATTCGCATTCAAAGTTTGGTATAAAAAGAAGATTTAAAAGTGTTCTTGTAATAAACAACAGACAATATAAAGGTATCACACTACATAAACACAATTTTGTAAGGTGGTATAATAAGGATAATATTTGGACTTTGTAATGTAGTCAACTCGGTCGGGATTGACTTAATTATTCATTGACATTTAATTTATTAATTGTCGCCTTTTGCTTAATAAAATATCATACTTTATAACTTTAATACCAAAAACCATCAATTTTGATACGTTGTGAAGTTACAGATTCCAGTTAGAATACAATCATAACTGAGGTATTTCTGGTTATGGATTGTGTATTCTTGCATCATTATAAACAATTTATGTTGAACATTTTTTGCTCGAACACCTTTAGTTATTGAGTTATGATCTCGATTTTAGTACAAAAAACCGTCAATTTTGATAAATTAGGGATTTCAAGATTATAGCTACAATATAAGTACAACAGAGTTATATATGGTCGTGGATTGTGTATTCTTGCATCATTATAAACAACTTATTTTGAACATTTTTTGCTCCAACACTTTGAGTTATTGAGTTATGATCTCGATTTTAGTACAGAAAACCATCAATTTTGATATGTTGGGGTTTCCAGATTATAGCTACAATATAAGTATAAGTGAACTATATCTAGTAAGGGATTGTATATTTTTGCATTATTATAAACAATTTATATACACAATTTTTTACTCCAACACCTTTAGTTATTGAGTTATGATGGACTTTAGTCACGAAAACCATCAATTTTAATATGTTGTAGATTTCCAGAACCCAGCTAGAATATAATCATAACTGAGCTATATCTAGTTATGGATTGTATACTTTTACATTATTGTAAACAATTTATATACAACATTTATTGTTTCAACGCCTTTAGTTATTGAGTTATGATCAACTTTAGTAATGAGAACCATCAATTTTGACATGTTGTGGATTTCCAGGTTCTAGCTAGAATACAATCATAACTGAACTATATCTAGTTATGGATTCTCTATTCTTGCATCATTATAAACAATTTATATTTAACACTTTTTGCTCGAACACCTTTAGTTATTGAGTTATGATCGAATTAAGTAGAAAAAACCATCAATATTGATATGTTGTGGATTTCCAGATTCTAGCTAGAATGCAATCATAACTCATTTATATTTAGTTATGGATTGTGTATTTTTGCATTATTATAAACAATTTATATACAACATTTATTGCTTCAACACCTTTAGTTATTGAGTTATGATCAACTTTAGTAATGAGAACCATCAATTTTGATATGTTGTGGATTTCCAAATCCTAGTTAGAATATAATCATAACTGAGCTATATCTGGTTATGGATTGTGTATTCTTGCATCATTATAAACAATTTATGTACAACATTTTTTGTTCCAACACCTTTAGTTATAGTATTTTGATCAACTTTAGTAATGAGAACCATCAATTTTGATATGTTGTGGATTTCCAGGTTCTAGCTAGAATACAATCATAACTGAACTATATCTAGTTACGGATTCTGTATTCTTGCATCATTATAAATAATTTATGTTCAACATTTTTTGCTCCAGCACCTTTAGTTATTGAGTTATGATCGACTTTTGTGACAAAAACCATGAATTTTGGTATATTGTAGATTTGCACATTCTAACTAGAATGCAATCATAACTGAGCAATATCTCGTTATGAATTGTGTGTTCTTGCATCAGTATAAACAATTTATGTACAACATTTTTTGCTCCAGCACCTTTCGTTATTAAGTTATGATCCACTTTTGTAACGAAAACCATCAATTTTGATATATTGTGGATTTCCAGGCTCTAGCTAGAATACAATCATAATTGAGCTATATCTGGCTATAGATTCTGCATTCTTGCATCATTATAAACAATTTATGTTCAACATTTTTTGCTCCTACACCTTCAGTTATTAAGTTATGATCGACTTTTGTATCAAAAACCATCTATTTTGATATGTTGTGGATTTCCAAATCCTAGCTAGAATATAATAATAACTGAGCTATATCTGGTTATGGATTGTGTATTTTTGCGTCATTATAAACAATTTATGTTCAACATTTTTTGTTCCAACCCCACTAGTTATTGAATTACGATAGACTATAGTAAGGAAAATCATCAATTTTCGTATGTTGTAGATTTCCAGATGCTAGCTAGAATATAATCATAACTGAACTATATCTGGTTATGGATTGTGTATTCTTGCATCATCATAAACAATTTATGTACAACATTTTTTAATCCAACACCTTTAATTATTGAGTTATGATCCACTTTTGTAACGAAAACCATCAATTTTGTTATGTTACGAATTTCCAGGTTCTAGCTAGAATACAATCATAACTAAGCCATATCTGGTTATGGATTGTGTATTTTTGCATCATTATAAACAATTTATGTTCAACAATTTTTGCTCCAACACCTTTACTTATTGAGTTATGATCGACTTTTTTAACGAAAACCATCAATTTTGATATGTTGTGGATTTCCAGATCCTAGCTAGAATATAATCATAACTGAGCTATATCTGGTTATGGATTGTGTATTCTAGCATCATTATAAACAATTTATGTACAACATTCTTTGCTCCAACACGTTTAGTTATTGAGTTATGATCTACTTTAGTAACAGAAACCATCAATTTTGGTATATTGTAGATTTGCACATTCTAGCTAGAATACAATTATAACTGAGCTATATGTGGTTATCGATTGCGTATTCTTGTATCATTATAGACAATTCATGTACAACATTTCTTGCTGCAACCCCTTTAGTTATTGAGTTATGATCGATTTTTGTAACGAAAAAAAAACATCAATTTTGATATGTTGTGGATTTCCAAGTTCTAGCTAGAATACAATCATAACTGAGTTATATCTGGTTATGGATTGTGTATTGTTGCGTCATTATGAACAATTTATGTACAACGTTTTTTGTTCAACACTTTTCGTTATTGAGTTATGATCCACTTTTGTAACGAAAACCATCAATTTTGTTATGTTGTGGATTTCCAGGTTCCAGCTAGAATACAATCATAACTGAGCTATATCTTGTTATGGATTGTGTATGATGGCATCATTATAAACTATTTATGTACAACATTCTTTGCCTCAACACCTTTAGTTATTGAGTTATGATTGACTTTAGTAACGAAAACCGTCAATTTTGATATGTTGTGGATTTCCAAGTTCTAGCTAGAATACAATCATAACTGAGTTATATCTGGTTATGGATTATGTATTGTTGCGTCATTATGAACAATTTATGTTTAACATTTTTTGCTCCAACACCTTTAGTTATTGAGGTATGATCTACTTTAGTAACAAAAACCATCAATTTTGGTATATTGTAGATTTGCAGAGTTTAGCTAGAATACAATCATAACTGAGCTATATCTGGTTATGGATTGTATATTCTTGCATCATTATAAACAATTTTTGTTCAACATTTAATGTTTCAACTCCATTAGTTATTGAGTTATGATCGACTTTAGTCAAGAAAACCATCAATTGTGATATGTTGTGGATTTCCAGGTTCTAGCTAGAATACAGTCATAACTGAGCTATATCTAGTTATGGATTGTGTATGTTTAACATTTTTTGTTCCAACCCCATTAGTTATTGAGTTATAATCGACTTTAGTAACTTTAGCTTGAAGATAATTCTATATTTGGGTATAGATAAGGTTGATTAATTTAATGTACGTTCTATAAAACTTGAGGATACCGTTTCTTCTTTGAAAACGTAAAAATTTTATGTTCTACCTTTTGTGATTTCCTATAATAGCTTAATGTTATCAATGTAATATAACATAATCGGTTAAAGGATTATTTTTTAATGGTGATTAAAAGTTAATCGGTTTAAATAAAATTGGTGGAATATTTGTGAGTTTATTTTTTGAATGCGCCTTGTATAAACAGCAGCCAAAGCGAATTCTTACAACTACCGTTCAGTTTTTCCCTCTCATACCTCTTGTCCGGTCGTTTATCCTTTTCCTCGTTCCTTCTGAGTCTCGTCGTCTTCTCGTTCTCCATCGAAGCGACCCCGTATACATCCCACGCCCCGGACTCCTGCTCCGCTCGCTCTACCCTGCTCTGTTCTCTATGCTCCGCGTTCTGCTGTGATCAATAGAACAGAGGTCTTCGTCGCAACCCGTCCTCTACTACCACGCACCATTCGACGCCCGCTGCTGCTCTGCCTCCATCGTTTCATTCGTGCTCCTCATTCGTTCTGTTCATTCCGCTGTTTCCTCTCGGTGACGACGGTTGCGTTTTCGGTCCGCTTCTTTGAATTTACAGAAATCTTTTTCAGTCTTAACAGTTTCTCACTATCGGTATTTAACAATAGCTCTTTCTCTCTATCGAAAGAGAAATAATCCAAGAGAAGCTGACGTGCGTTCTCAGTGAAAGAGATAAGGGCTGCTTCAGATAAGAAGAAGGATACAAGAAAGAAGGTAAGCGTAAATTTATCTTAATTTATATTGATAACGAAATTTAACATTTTTTTAAAAATATTCTCTTGATTTATTTATTTTCGGGCGTTATCGCTGTGCCCTTTTCCGCTATTTCTGTTTATGATAAGATATCTCTAACAAAAACGGGCGCTATGATGACATTAATCAGAAAAATAACAGTTTCGAAACGTACTTATTTTTGTTTATATTTTTCATAATTTTTGTGAAATAAATCCATATAAGATTAGTTCATCTTACAAAATATTTCCCTGTTGGATACAATTTTAATTACATTGTGTTTGAGTTCGTTTCAAAAGATTTTTTATGGAGATTACGAAAATTTCGACATTCATTATATACACTGAAAAATAAACTTTACCTTGGCATTCGAGCTGAAAAGGAACACATCTGCTTAACGTAACAGTTTAACTCATTAAGTCGTCATTAATCAAAAAGATCGTTTACCATAATTTATAAACATCACATCGATTTTAAGGTTGTTTAGAATAAATCTTTCGCGGGATAAACTTTGGTTGAAAACATCATCATTATTACAAATGGATTGCAATTTGTCTTTGATAATTATGATTATTAAATATCATCGTGTACCAGATCGAAGCGGACATAATCGATAGAATACGAATTAGTAATTAGTCAATTAATTAGTACGTAATTACATCGAGAAATACGTGATATCATACATTTTAAATAATGTAAACAAACCGACATAAAAATTTACAAAAATATACAAGAGTCTCTATTTAAAGGTTTTCGCGAAAAAAATATTTATAAAAGCGGGGTGGAATGTAAATTCTTTTTTCTTGTAAATAAAGCGGTTAATAAAATTAGCTTTATTTATTAAAAAATCAATAAAATCAACTTTTTAATTTTAAAATATATCCCAGAATGATGATTGGCACAACTTGAAACCGCATAATTTTGCATAATTATCACAAATATGCTGTAATTTCAAGTGATTTTAAAATTATTTCCTAAATAATTTAATAAATTTAGAACAAAGTTTATTTGAAATAAAATAAATATTAGACTTTTAGCACTAATATGATATATAACATAACATAGTTGCTATATTCAGTCATTAGATATTGGTCATTTTGAATCATGTTGATTTTTGAACATTTCCGGAATCATGGTAATATTAATTAACTTTAAAATTATTTGTTGGGTAAACAAATGAATTTGGAATAATGTTTATTTAAACAAAATCAAATGTAGACTTTTATCGTAAATATGGTGTGCGTCATAAAATGATATCTAGGCGGAGAAGTGAGATATCGTTAATTTTATATCACGACGATTATTAGCAATTTGAAATTGCGGTAATTTCAATTCACTCTTCTGTAGAAAGTAAGTAACTTCGAAGATTGTTTATTTGAAATAACATAAATATTAAACTTTAAGCTCTAAAATGATATCTAACATATCATTATAGTTATGTTCTGTCATTAGATATAGATGATTTTATATCATTATGATTTTTAGAAATTTTTAATTTTGACCGTATATCAATTATATTTAGAGCAGGTTCTTGGATAAACTAATACATTTGGAATAATGTTTATTTGAAACAAAATAAAATATAGACTTTTAGCTTACATATGATATATATTACATAATAATATCTATATTGAGAGGTGAGATATCGTTAATTTAGATAATGATGATTTTTGGTAATTTTTAATTTTTATCGCAATTTCCATTAATTTTAACATTTTCTTCTGCAACAACTAATAAATTTTGAACAATGTTTATTCGAAATAAAATAAATATTGGACTTTTAGCTCGAAAATGATATACAACACATTATTGCAGCTGTGTTCAGTCATTAGATATAGATCATTTTATATCATTATGATTTTTAAAAATTTTTAATTTTTACCGTATATCAATTATATTTAGAACAGTTTCTTGTACAAACTAATACATTTGGAATGATGTTTATTTGAACAAAACAAAATATGGACTTTTAGCTTAATTATGATATACAATACGTAATGATATCTCGATTGAGAGGTGAGATATCGTTAATTTAGTTAATGACGATTTTTGGTAATTTTCAGTTTTTACCGCCATTTCCATCGATTTTAAGTTTTTCTTCTGCAGAAAGTAACAAATTCCGAACGATGTTTATTTGAAATAAAATAAATATTAGACTTTTAGCTCAAAAATGATATACAACTCATCATTGTAACTATATTCAGTCATTAGATATTGATCATTATATACCATTATGATTTTTAGAAATTTTTGATTTTTACCGTATATCAATTATATTTAGAGCAGTTTCTTGGATAAACTAATACATTTGGAATGATGTTTCTTTGAAACAAAATAAAATATGGACTTTTAGCTTAAATATGATATACAATACATCATGATATTTAGATTGAGAGGTGAGATACCGTTAATTTGGCTAATGACGATTTTTGGTAATTTTCAATTTTTACCGTCCTTTTCATTGATTTTAACATTTCCTTCTGCAGAAACCAACAAACTCCGAGCAATGTTTATTGGAAATAAAATAAATATTAGACTTTTAGCTCAAAAATGATATACAACATATCATTGTAATTATGTTCAGTCATTAGATATTGATGATTTTATATCATTATGATTTTTAGAAATTTTTGATTTTGACCGTATATCAATTATATTTAGAGCAATTTCTTGGATATACTAATAAATTTAGAATAATATTTATTTGAAACAAAATAAAATATAGATTATTAGCTTAAATATGATATACATTACATAATGATATCTGGATTGAGAGGTGAGATATCGTTAATTTAGATAATGACGATTTGTGGTAATTTTCATTTTTTACCGCCATTTCCATCGATTTTAACTTTTTCTTCTGCAAAAAGTAACAAATTCCGAACAATGTTTATTGGAAATAAAATAAATATTAGACTATTAGCTATAAAATGATATCTAACATACCATTATAGCGATGTTTTTTCCATAGATATTGATCATTTTGGATCATGATGATTTTTGAAAATTTTCAATTTTTATCGTAATATCAATTAATTTTAGAATTGTTTCTTGGATAAACTAATAAGTTTGGAATGATGTTTATTTGAAACAAAATAAAATATGGACTTTTAGCTTACATATGATATACATTACATACTGATATCTAGATTGAGAGGTGAGATATCGTTAATTTAGATAATGACGATTTTTGATAATTTTCAATTTTTACTGCAATTTCCATTGATTTTAACATTTTCTTCTTCAGAAACTAATAAATTTCGTACAATGTTTATTAGAAATAAAATAAATATTAGATTTTTAGCTTGAAAATGATATACAACACACCATTGTAACTATGTTCAGTCATTAGATATTGATCATTTTATATCATTATGATTTTTAGAAATTTTTAATTTTGACCGTATATCAATTAATTTAGAGCAGTTTCTTGGATAAACTAATAAATTTAGAATAATATTTATTTGAAACAAAATAAAATATAGATTATTAGCTTAAATATGATATACATTACATAATGATATCTAGATTGAGAGGTGAGATATCGTTAATCTAGATAATGACGATTTTTGGTAATTTTCAATTTTTGAAGCAATTTCCATTGATTTTAATATTTCCTTCTGCAGAAACTAACAAACTCCGAGCAATGTTTATTGGAAATAAAGTAAATATTAGACTTTTAGCTCAAGAATGATATACAACACATCATTGCAGCTATGTTCAGTCATTAGATATTGATCATTTTATATCATTACGTTTAGAGCAGTTTCTTGGATAAACTAATACATTTGGAACAATATGTTTTTGAAATAAAATAAAGCATAGGATTTCACCTTCAATATGAGCTACAATACATAATGATATATATGTTGAGCAGGTCGATATCATTCACTTTATATCATGATAATTTTTGCTAATTTTTAATTTACGGTAACTTTAATTTTTTCAATCTAAAAAATTTAATTGTAAGTTTATATCTATATTTAGTCCTTTATTATTATAAAATTATCATGTTTATAAATAAATTAATCATAATCGTGTTTTTGAACCTTGAATTATATAAAAACAAAAGCGTTTCAGTTATCTTCGTGTTTATTGTTGTCTTAAATGTAAAAGCAATTCAATGTGATCGCTAATAAATCATCGCCACACGACACAAAATTAATTTTATGCGTTCATTTGACGAGAAGTAATAGCACATAGACCATTATATGAGTTAATCAAGCTTTAATTGGACCAATTGCTAATTGGTATTATTTTATGTATGCTGAATTAAATCTTAATTGGTTGGTTGTTAAACTTGGTACTAATTGATGATTTAAAAAACTTTTTGAAATGTATCAAATTTTAGAAGTTAATTTGAAATTTTTTGATTAATCACCTGTACGTCGCCCAATTTTTTTTCATTTAAAATTTATATTAGCTGCATATTTTTGTTTACATTTTGAACTTTCGTGCAACGTTCTATGAGTTCTCGGGAATGAACTGGGGGAGTTCTGGGAAGTCTCTGGGGAACCCTTCCCCGGCATATATATCACCGGACTAACTTCTAAATTAAATAAAAAAACTCCGAGAGGATTTTTTTTTTAAAACCAGTCGTTCGAAACGGCGCGATCTTTTATTCATCTTGTCAAGTTATAATTTAGCAACGTTTCAGCAATTTGCTTTTGTCAACTCGATTCGTTTAGAAACTATGATAAACCACAAAAATATGTTTGCATAATTTTATCGAATTACTGCATCAAAACCAAAAAAACAAAAATGGGAGGTTGGTTTAATTTCGACAGACACGGTATATAGATAAGACATTATCGCAGCTTCCCCGAGGTTAACATTGCCTATCTCCATTTTTCCTACAGCTATCTCTGCGTGGATATCGAATTTCCGTTTGCAACTTTGATAAATTGCTTTTAGGTATCCCACAAAAAAAGGAAAATAAATAAATGTTAGGGATTTAGTGGTGATTTTATAAAGTTTTTAAA